TTGTTTTTCTTTGTTTTCAGCCCTTCGAAGGGGCTTGGACGCGACGCGTGCGCGTCGACCGACCGTCTGCCTTCCTCCTCTCCCCTAGCACTACCTCGGCTGGCACGCCGGCTCGCCGACACGCCAGCGGACTATGAAAGCAGCCTCCGTGTGAGCTTTGATAGTAAAGACTGGTACGTATCAAGCCACGATACCACATATTGAAGGATCGTGGTTGAAGGGGCTGTCTCAATTGCTCTATCGTCTCTAAAGTTGAGCAATTGTTCGGTGTTGGTGGAATTGACATGAGTGACATTTTGGAATTTCTTAAAGTCTCACCATTAAAAACCTGTCTGGCATAGAAGAATTGACTGATAACCTTCTTACATTTGTTAATAGAAAATGCCTAGAAAGTCATCGTCATATACACCGCGTTATGCCCTATTACTTCAAGAAGGGTTGGAGGGTGGCATAGTCATAAAATTCATAGTCATAAATTGATCTCAGCGGAATTCTCGCCATGAACAGTCAGCCAAAGCCGAATAAATGATGTAAACTGCTTCTACAGTCGCTTTTTCCACCAACAGAAGCTCCTGTGGATCATCACATCGATCCTCCGTTGGAAGATTGGCTAACGAACAGAACTTTCGACAAACCGGATGACTTGATGGCCGACGCCAAGGCGTGGGTCGCCACCGAGAATCGAAACTTTTGCCTAGCAAATAGGAAGCAGTACTTGATCTAGTCGGTAGATATGTTCCAGAGTAATTATTTAACCACGTCTTCGCTAAATATTTCTATCGTTTTTTAAAAGTAGTTCTATAAAAGTATCTAAAAGTAAAATCTGCTTGTGAAAAATCCGCAATAAACATGCGTCAACTTAGTAGAATTGAGTTCTGGTCCGGGATTCGGAATTCCATGCTCTACTCGTCCAAGCCACTGGAGCTTCCTCGCGTGGTTTACGTAGGAAATACACTTCTCGTCGCCGGTGATTAAGTCTTCCAGCCACGCGAAGGTGTGTCAGAAAGTCACACGTTCAGCATGACTCTCCTCATTCGAAGGTGGAGACCACCCGTTCACAACGCACCCATACTCCGCGACTCCATATCTTCCCTAGGCAATGCAAACGGGCAGCTACTGTGTCTGTGTGGCTACTGAGCTCCTGTTCCATCTCGGACACACTAACGTTAGATCCTCTTCAACCAGCTTCGAAAGTTGGCCGTTATTGAGCTCAGCTGATCTTCCAGATCGTGGTTTTTTGGTCTTCCTAGAGTGAAAATTTTTTAGGTTGTGGCTCCAAATTTTTGACGTACTGTGAGAGGCAATGGACGGTCCCATCGTACCGCATTTGCTTGTTGTATGATATGGATTGACGTTTTTCTGAACTTTCAGAGCAGGAACAGCCCAACTTGCTGGGAGAGCTATTCCTACAGAAATGATCGTTGCGAAATGCTGCGGCGATATGGCAGATATGGTGGTGTGAAAAACGCATTGACCTGCACTCACAGATCTTCCGTAATAAGCGTTTTTAAGCAATCCCCAACATGGGAGTGAAGATGTGCAAAGAACTTCCCGACAACTTAATACATGGTGTTCAAACGTTATGCAGATGCTATGGATAAGATAAAAGCGTGTAATACACATATCACACACTTTATACAACATGCTACATACATGTTGTATGCATGTTATGTACGTGTTTTTCAAATATTATGTACATGTTATGCATATGCACGCTATGCATGAGTGCATGATGTACATATGCTGTTCAAATGTTATACACGTGCTATACATTTGACAGAAACGTTTAGAATACTTATCATACACACTTTATACAACTTGTTGGTGGATAATCCCATCATCATTGTCGCAATCAAAAGTCTTCTCGCGGGAAATGAGAGCCAAGCTCGAGTTTAGCTTGTCGGTCTTGAGGCACCTGGCAGCGCTCTGGAAGCTTAAAGATGTTGCCAGTCGAAGCCGATTAGATGGAACCGCGTCAACCAATGGACTAGCCGCTTTCTATGTAGAAAGAAGGACCGGGTTAAGAGTCGATTCAAAGCTCTTGTTTAACAGTTGACCGACATTCAATTGTCGTTCTGACAAAATGTCACTATCATTCTACTTTGAGCCACTTGGAGCACAATTTATCTATGAGATAATTACTGAACCCTTTCTAATTTGACCATGCCACGTTTATTCGTACCTTTACGGCCAGATCAACGCTACTGGAAGCGACTAAGTCATTTTCAGTGTGACGGAATTCTTGAGCATGTTCGGTGAATTTCCAATACAATACAATACAATACAATGTGCAATATCCACTACACAATTGGTTCGCTTTTCTTCAAGAGGAGAAACTCTGCCTTCCTCGCAATTAGCTAGAGCTTCTGATGGAACACAAGTTAACAGTATGGAAAAAGGCTCGGTCACCTTTGGTGCTGTCCGAAGTTGTTCAATAAATTTGCTAGGCCGTGCGCTTTGCGTATAGCACTTCGGTTTATCATGCATGCCTTTCCCCAAGGGGCAAGCTGTTGGAAAACACTCCATACACTTTTTACGGTAGCCGTAACAAGGCCTTCGCTTTTCTTGATAATTCTTCACCTCTTGTCTAGCTACGAAGATGGCATCCGAGCCTGGGGCCATAGTCTAGGATTACGTGAAGATGAGAGCAACGGGTTGAAGAAGGAAACATTAGTATTGCTTTGACTCAGCCCCCTCAGTAGGCTCCCGTACAGGCAGGGGTGGCCGAGTAGATAATAGTGTTGACTTACGTCTGCACTTAGGAAGGACGTGAGTTCGATCCCTACCGAGACGAAACTCATGTCTTCCATACATTGCAAAAATGGTATCGGTTTAGCGTCAGGTCCAGGTTGACAGGCCGGCTGATTTCGAAACCCAGTCACAGAAATCATGTCGAAAGTCTCTAAAATCAGTGATAAAGCTAAGACGTCACCCGGGAGTAGCCCACAGAACCCCCGGCCGAGTCCTGTGGGCAGTATGCGAGGGCTACCGAGGAATGAACGACCTCCGTCAAAGAAGCTAGTCAGAGTTGGAGTCCAAACGTGAGTCCGCCTACTGAGAAGTCCCGAGAGGTCGCCGATCTAATAAAGCGCAGGGATATCCAAGTCCTATGTCTTCAGAGGACCCGTTTTAAAGGAGACAAGGTCAGGGAAGTCGGGGAGGGTGTCAAACTCTACCACAGTGGGGATGACAGCAAACGAAATGATGTAGCTATAGCAGTAGCCGAGTCCTTTAAAGGCCTCGTCAGCACCGTCAGCAGTAGAATAATGGACGTAAGGATAGATATGAAAGTGGGATATTGGACAATAATGTCCGTGTACGCACCACAAGACGGCTGCCCCGACCGTGAAAAAGAGGACCATTATCTGAGCCTCGACGATGCCATCAATCAGTTGCTGAAAGAGACTATCCCATAGGAGGGGATCTGAATGGGGACGTCGGCAGTGAAAGGAAGGGACTGGAAAGGGTACACGTAGAAAGAGGAACATGGGTTAGATACGATGAAGGAGAGAGGGTTCTCGACCTGGCCATGGCCATGACTTGGCAGTCTGCAGTACCTTCTTCGCGAAAAGTAAGATTCAGAAGGTTACCTACAGCAGTGGAGGGAAAGAAACAGTAACAGACCATGTGCTCGTGGGAAGATCGTTTCTCAAAATTTTATGGGACATAAAGGTAACGTCTGGCGAAGAATTGGACAGGCCGCTTCTACTAGACGTAGCCATGTAGCAAGAAGTGAAGGACTAAAACGGAGCGGAGAATCCGATTGGGGGGGGGGCTGCACCAAACCGGAAGAGAGGATCTCAAACGCAAGATACTGGAAGTTGGTCTCCTAGATCTCGAAGGACCGCTCCAGCAGACCTGGAGCAGCACTGTGGAAGTCATCCTACATTGAGCGAGGAAAACATTGGGAGAAACTCCAGATGGATCCCGAGGAGACAAGGGAGGGGGCGTGGTTCTGGAACGGTGAAGTCCAGCAAGTCGTCAGGCAGAAGAAAGCCGCCCACAAGGCAGAAGACGCGAGATCTAAGAGACCAATCGCAGACGGTCTCGGGAAAGTCATCGAAAGAGTACAGGACCACGCATACCAGGAGAGTGATCTAGCCGCTGATGGTAACCTGGACCACTCTGTGAATTAATGTCCAATAAGCGCAGCATGAATAAAGTTGCGCTGAAATAAGGATGCTTAGATGGACTTGCTGTTGGATTCGACTGGACCGAATCAGAAACGAATAGTTCAGAATGTTCATATTAACAGCCTTGTCCAGCTGAAGATGGGAGAATAGTGTCTACAGCCACGTACTGTGGTGACCACCGAATCATCCAATAGGCGACGCACTGCAGTTCAAGGGTTGAAGAAGGCGACCACGAAAAGCGTCAAAGAAGAGTTGGCGCGACATGATTAAGAAGGAACTCGCCAAGCTAAAATGGTGGCAGAAGATGCTTCAAATAAAAGGAAGTGGAGACGGCTGTCAAGAATAGCGAACCCTGCGACGGTGCAGGACTAACGCTAGGAAGAAGGGGGAAGAAGGAGTAGGAGTCAGAAACGAAGAAATAGTGAGGGTCCTATACCTTGCCACTTCCCACGACCTACCAGTTTTCAGCATGTTCCCCACGGAAAAGGGGATCCAAGGGGTAGCCTACAGCAGTATGGGGAAACACAGTCATATACTGGTAGGAAATCGTCCTTCAAAACTGCAAAAGGCATAAAGGTGCTGTTTGGCGAAGACACTGCTCTGCAGCCCGGATCTCTCCTTGCAGCCATAGTCATCAGGAGCTCCCAAAAGGTCAGGAACGAGAACGGAGTAGAGAATCAGATGTCGGAAACCCCTCCCAATGGAAAAGGACGAACCTGATAGAAGCTGACTTCCCACCCACGCCCGTCATGGAATGCGTCATAAAACGCTGGTTGAGACGCGGGCTACTTTTTAGACAAGACAAGGCAGCATTGTTCGAGAACGATGAAGTCGAAAAGATCTTCAAGCAGAAGAAAGACACGTACAAGCGTTTGTGATAGAAGCGTGCTTCAAAGGGCTCACCTTCACACAAGTTTTACAAAATTCTTGTCAAGACTGCTACATCACAAAGACAAGGATACAGAAATGGACGTTCTCAGCTAGAACGTTGACGGCCATGAAGAAAAAATAATGCCTTTCAGTTATCTAAAAGTTGTCATGAGCGGCTTACATCGGACTATTCATGGCGTCGGGTAGTGAAGGTCAAAGAACAGAGAAGCTGCTTTCCTTAAAAAATCATCTCAGTACAGTCGCAGATGGAAAGAACGCTTCATTGGACTCCTGACGACGAGTTCTCCCGTGAGTACGGCTTGCGGGTAGGACGGCTGGCCCTTTGCCACCCTGTACAATGGAAGCGCTCCTTCGAGCAATGGGAAAGATGATAATTAGTAAGTCGGCTGGTCCACATCGGGTACTGATCGATTCATGGAGACGCTCAGCGAACACGGAACTGGGTGGCACATCCAGCTGTGGCTAGTGTTGTAAAGAAAGAGAATGCGCAGAGGAGCAGTACAATCGTTGCCAAGATCGTGCCCATCTTCGAGCAAGAAGAGGATGGAGTGTTCGAACTATCGCGGGATCAGGATGGCTGCTAACAGGTTTAGTGAAATTCTAAGTAAGGAAAACTGTAACTACGACAGTTTATCGACTCAAAACCAAGGAAACGTCCCGATCTCACTTGAGTTCGGCTTTATGTCAGGAAAGTCTGTAATACTTTCTATCTTCATAGCTGACATGTGATGGAGAAGTATGGGAAAATTTTCAGAATAGCTAACTAGCCTAGCAAACTGCAGAAAAGGTTAAGATATTTCAGCTCCACCTGAAATTGAGGAGAATGAAGTTTGTCAGCTAGGAGGGGTACGCACAAGCAAGTGTACATTGTGTGGAGATGTCATCGAAAGGGTGCTAGAGTCCGATACCTAGGACGACCTGGGCGCTGACGGTAGCGTGAAGAAGGTAGTGAGGGCTTTATCATACACGGTAGGTTTGGATTAAGAGAGTATTGTAGTGCCCTTTGCGGCTAGCAGTGCTCCAGGAATCACAGAGGAAAGTTATAGAGAGGTGTGATAAGGCCATACAGCTCTACGTCAACGAGTTCTGGCCCACGGACAGGAATTTCGNCTTCATGCAGAAAATGAGGATGTTCAGATGGACCTGCAGTAGAACGCGAACGATTGGATTAGAAAAGAGGATGTCAGGGCAGTCAAACAACCCAGTTTAACTCAAAGAGGAGGAGAAGCGCTTGAGTTTGCATGGACACATACAGAAGGGCCACCGGATCACTCCATAAGAAATGCGGTGGAGTTTGAAGCTGGAGTGAACCACGAGAAGTCCCAAAAAGAGCTAACGAGACTTCAAGAAAATCGCGCCCGTGTCAAACTCAGGGCACCAGATGGTGCAGAAAGAAGGAATATGGTGAATCCGGTCTTGCATCTGATGTCAAAATAAAAGTTGCCAAACTCGATCCAATCATCTCCAATGTTTTCTGGGAGAGAGAGCGCCTAGAGCACAGGTTGGGTTGGTTACTTCCCCTGCTGCCTTCTTTAGCATTAAATACGCCTCTTGGACATCTTCTCTAATTGTGCTAGTTAAGATAAATGTTTCCTGATGATTACTATTTTTCAGTCTGCATCAGCACGTCCTCCGAAAAGAGGTGCGCAAGCGAAGAAGGCGAAAACTGGGAAGAGGAATAAGAAGAAGAAGCAAAAGGACACTCGTCAGTCAAACAGGAAAAATGGTCTGAGTAATACTAGTTCATTAATGTTGTCATCTACATGCCACCATTTTTTTTTTCAGGTGACCGCAAAAACGGCAATTCAAAATCATTTCGTCCTGACACTGATAACAACACTCAAAATGGCACCGCGGATAACAACGAAAGCTCACAGGTTGGTTGATGTGATGGAGGCGAATATTGTAAGCAGCGAAACTTACTGAGTTTCAGTCGGTGGACATTTTTTCTGACCTGGAAGATAATGATTATCCCATGGAGGAACTTGAAGACAATGCAGCTGATAGGGAGGAAGAAGTAATTTGTGAAGATAACGCGGCTGAAAGGGAGGAAGATGAAGAAACTCGTGAAGACGACATGGCTGATAGGGAGGAAGAAGAAGTAACTCGTGGAGACAATGTGGCTGAAAGGGAGGAAGAAGAAGTAACTCGTGGAGACAACGCGGCTGATATGGAGGAAGAAGAAGTAACCCGTGGAGACAATGTGGCTGAAAGGGAGGAAGAAGAAGTAACTCGTGGAGACAACGCGGCTGACAGGGAACAAGAAGAAGTAACTCGTCGTCCACCCCAATCAACGGAGAATGGGACGATTGGTCCTAATAACAGTGGTAACTTGATTTTTTTTTCAATAACCTACCTTTATTCTTCTTTTAAGATCCTCCCGAGAGTAATGGCAATTCGGAGTTGGTCGCAAGTAAGGCTAACACCAACGCCGAAAATCCGGTGAGCTGTTTCGGTTACGAAAAACGTCTTTTATTCCGAATGTAAATAATATTAAGCCTTCAACTTCATCAAAATCTCGTAAACGTAAGCCAGCAAGCAAGCCAAGTACTACAAATCCAAAAAGGAAAAGAGAAGTGAAGGTTCTTCCCCGTCCACTATCCAGCAAGAAGAAAGTTCCAGGTTGGAGAAGCAATAGTAGAGAAATGTTTTAGTCACATACCACCAGTTTTCTTTCCAGCTGTTCCCAAAAATGTCGGCAATTTGGAATCGGCTCGATCTGACGCTGGTAGTAACGGAGAGAATCACATCGCGAGTGTGAACGATAGCTCATCGGTTGGTTGATCTTATGGGAGGGACATCTTTACTGGTGATTGTGACTGAATTCCAGGCTTTGTCCAAATCGCCTCCTCGCAAAAGGGCTCCCATGAAGGAACTTGAAGCTAATAAGACCATCGAGCACAAGGGGCAACCGATACGTCCTCCTACCAAGTTGACAGAAAATCGCGCCTGTCGTAACAACAAGGGTACGTTGAAATTTTTTTGGCCATTTACCTTGAAGCTTCTTTTAAGATACTCGCAAGAGTAATGGCAACTTGAAATCGCCCGCACCTAGCAATCACGTCAACCGCAACGCCGATTATTCGGTGGGTAATATGCATAACGTTATAGGAATTGACTTCATTCTTAGTATTAACATATATTAAGCTTACGACTTCGCGTTCTCGAGAACGGCAACCAGCCATTAATCCTACTCCCAGAAAGGCGGATGCTAAAAAACCAACACAGAAGACTCAGCTTCCTTCTCTAACACCTAGAAAACCCACTCCTAGAAAGTCGAATGGTGCAAACTCGGAAGAGACGACTCAGTTTCCTTCTCAATCGCCTGGAAAACCTGCCGATCGCAACAACAGCAGTACGNGTATTAACATATATTAAGCTTACGACTTCGCCATCCCGAGAACGGCAACCAGAGAAGACTCAGACTTTTTCTAAACCACCTAGAGAACCCAATCCTAGAAAGTCGAATGGTGCAAACACGGAAGAGACAACTCAGCTTCCTTGTCAGTCGCCTGGAGAATCTGCCGATCGCAACAACAGCAGTATGTTCTCATCCGTCATCCTTTTTTGGTTTACTCAACTCATTTTTCTAGATGGTCGCAAGGAACAGGATACTGTAATGCCGCTCCCACCTAACGCAGAAGGCAATGGTAGAAACGATCTTGCCCAGAGGAGCGATAACGATAACACTTCGGTTGGTTGTTTTGATGGGGATAAATGATTTTAATGTGTAACTAATATTATTGATACGTTGTTTTCATTATCACCATCTGTTCAGACGCGCGAACCTGCTCAGAAACGTAGGCCACGCCGGAAGAGAAAACCATGGAATCCTAGACCTAGGAAAACCCCAAGTGTCCGCAACAAAGCAAATGCTCGTCCTCAGTCCGATTCGAGGCGCCAGTATCAAAGTGCCCAACCTGGTACGATGAAGCCCTTCTGTTGATTAAATTTTTCTCAGCAGCAATACGGTATGGAGGACTTGTTTCAGAACAGAACGCAGTAATCAACAAGAGTGCACACGAACCAGTAGAAAATCCCGGTCATCCCAGAACCCAGGCAAATGCGCCTCCTACAATGCACATGAGGAAAATTGAGGATGAAGTAATTCAGAGGATGTACGTGTTCCGTCAAGGAGAAACCCTGATGAGAGTAGTTGAAAGCAATGGTGGAAGAAGAGGTAAACCTTAGCCTTCCATTGTGTTGGTGTTTCCTCTGGTGTGCTCACTAAGGATGTTTAAGTTTATCCTGTTGTATCCCCTCAACACCTACGCCCCTTAGCAAGAAATCAGCCGCCTATCTATGAAGTCGAAAGGGATCCGTATAGAATGTACTGTTACTGTCGATCAGTAAGTACTATACTATATATGAACCCACATTCGCTTTTTT